ATTATTTTTAGAAAACGAACGGGTATGCGATTTGTCAGAATTGCAATGCTTTGCTGACAACAATCGGGCGTTTAATAAATTATCTTATGATGATACTTTTAAAAGGTTTCCGAATAAAAGACTACCACGATCACCGCGTGACTGCGGCTGCCTCATGAGCTGTGAATCGAATGTGTTCAGTAAAGACCAAGATACTTTTATGCCCAGACTCGAAGATAATGTGATACGGATCAGTATTTCATCTTATCCAAAAGTGAGGCTAGTTAGAGAAGCTCTTTGGAACACGTATGACTTGATCCGTAAGTTATCCTTTACGTTCTTTGTAGTTTTGTCCTTGCATGTGGACTATTCAACAACTTGTCTGTTAATCTCTTAGAAAACTGTTTCCCTGGGACCAAGTATAATAATTCAAGAGCAAGTCAGGTTATACCAAATTTATAAACTCAACAGATTTCAAACCCTAACGTCGTAAAGTTTAAACCCTATTGCATAAAGAATCATGTCCAATTTTGACCTAAACGCGTCTAATAGCTTATTTATACTCATTTCATAGCGCATGATTGAGTCTTAAAATAAGGCCGGGAAAAATATAGCGACGCTGTTAATTATTATTAAAAAGTCCAGGGAAACCAATTATATTACAATAATAAAGGTTAGATAGGTTACTTGAATTCTAAGTGTCACCTTAAATCAATTCTTTCGGCCACAATCAATACGATTGATTGATTGATTGTGTGCGTTTATGGACCATAATCATTTTTAAAATGTCATAATATGTTCTGCGAAACTGTAGAAACATCATAAGTAACTCATCTAAAGACCAAGGGATCACATTTCATTCATAAGTATACATTTTCATTTGATTAGCGTTTTAATCAGAATATTAAATAATGTGGCATAAAGTTAAAAGATCTGTCAAAGTTTATGTAAGTAAGAGAACGGACAACTCGACTTTAGTGCCTACGCTCTAGAAAAGCTTCATTATTTATACACTGGCAAATAATATTTACACAAACGACAAGGAGAAATAATAATGTGAGACATTAATATTTTTAAGTTGAGCTTTTGATCGAAGTCTTTAACTCGTTTAGGTAAAAGTAGACATTAAACATGCATTAAATCATTTATACGTCTGGTCTCTAACATATTTAATTATAGTCTATGAATAATTGGAGAGTATCGTGCAATGTGGTTGTGTATATGCTGGGGTAAAGTTTTGACATCGTATTAGTACTGACATGAACATCGCCATCTTTCATTCATTCCATTTTCATGTAGAAATTAATTTATTCACTTAACATGGCAGAATTGTGCGACATCATAACCTATCTACTCTTTTTTATTGTAATATTATTGATGGAAATTCTGACAATATCATTCGGACCGTCTAATGGCAGATTGCTACGTTTCGTTTCATCTTCTACGATTTCATTCGGCATAAAGTTGAAAAAGTGCACATCAAAAATCACATTTTAATTTTTTTCACAGCTAATAGTAAATTTAAAAAACTTTATTTTAATGGATTCATTTTTAAACTAGCCCAAGAATAGGATATTCAATTCCGATTGAAATAATACTTGTAACTGTTTATTTTAATTAAAAGAGGCCATAAAAAAATATTTGGAAATACATATATATACGTTTTCTGGTCTTAAAATTAAATCAAAATTTAAACTTTTTTATACCCCCGAAAACGCTATAAGTCATATTCATGACGTCACTCTTGATATGTACCGAGATGTAAATAAAACAAGAACAATGTCGTCCAACTATAAATTAATAGTTAATAAGATATAAATAAGCTAAGGAATTATATTTATAATAAATAGTAATATCTTTAGGTCTATAGTTATAATATAAATTTTTAATTTTAGAAAAATAAGATAATTGTGCGATTTTAAGGCTCAAAATCAGAATCTCTATGTAAAGTATGTAACTTTTAGGTTTTGTGAAATATCGTGAATTGTTTTTCATGTTACGTGTAAAGGAACGATGTTTGGTTGATACGTCAACATTAGTGATGAGCTAACTTATTGGTTGCTCGTAACTTTCGTTGAGTTCAGGTTTGGAATGGAGAACAAAAATGATGATGCAGATGAAGTGTCATTATGCATCCACAAAACGAATGATATTAACATAAATATCAAAATAAATTCAGTCTAGGCTGTTACATAGTACTTGTGAAAGTCGAAAACTTTACCAATGGTTCGCAAAACTAAGGCGGGAGATCTCGTACTGACAAGAAACTCAGCAAGGGCTGCTTTTTTAATTTCAACTAAACAACTCAACTATACTATAACTAACGAGATAATAGGGTAGTCTAACTAAGAGATAATAGGGTAGTCTAACTAAGACTACCCTATTATCTCGACTCTGACAGCAACTATAACCAAAATATTATTTACTTTACAAATTATATATTTTCGAAAGGATGCTTAGTTACTATCTATTTTATTCAAATTTATCATTAATAGGTAGGTAGACATAACCTATAGAAGAAAATTTGTCAGGTCAATCAATGTTTGGAGTAGCATGATTTGACATTTCGTATGCTGCTGGGAATACATACCGTGATAATTAAGTATCCCTTATTTTATTTTATTTGATTACACTGTAACTTTCTGTTTGCAGTTCGTGGAGGGGGAGTCATTAACTTATGCGTCGGAGCATCGATCATCTCCATAACGGAATTAATTGTGCTTAGTTTTAAAATACTTTTCGGCATGATATGGTGTTACTTGAAACACATCTGTAAAAGAATCGCTGATCTCTCTGCTATTGTTAACTTGGATAAAATGATAAAAAAGCGGTAGTTGAATTAAAATTCATTTTATTAAGGAAATGGGTACAATATTTATATATTTCCACGTGTAAACCGTTTCCTTCCATCTTCATCTTGAGGTTTGTCCTGCACAAAAAAAAAACAAAAGTTAACGTATTGCAATATGAAGGTAAAGTATACTTATGCTATTTATGGGATACTTCTAAGTATCATCTTTTCAACTTTTCAAATAGTTTATACCTTACATGTTCAAACTTGAATTCAAAGTCAAGTAAGGAAACGAATCTTGTATTAATTTGATATGCTGCTACTGTCCATGAGATATATAATGAAAAACTAAGTATTTATAGTCCAGTCGCCGGCATTACATACCTCTGTTTTACTCGTGCGAAAATATATTGCTATTATGTCGCACAAATCGTCTAGACAATTTTGTCATAGTAAAGCTACATGTTTACGATATCTATCAGAGGGCATTAAGGTCAACGTACGAAATTCTCTTTGTTCCGCGACCGGACAAAAACTATAGTTGAATAAATATCTTCAAAAAATAATTTTACCATTTTGTCAGTACTTCTTCACTTGACTCTTTTTACACACCTATTCAGGCGAAGGTAATGCACTCTTGCGATTGCAATTATTGACTGGTTAATCTGGAAATTAGTTCATATTATAGCATATACATTTTGTTAAAGAATTCGTGAAAAAAAAAGTCGAAGTTTAGGCTGTATGTGAACATGAAAAAAACTCGATTGAGAGGCTAGGTATTATATATATTGATCATCAATCACCAGTGTTGACACAGGCACTGTAAAGCGAGAGTTCCCATCGCGGACCAGAAACGTTCGTGCGCCGACGTTGACGTCACAATGTTCGCACAGATACGGGCGAACTTTGTACATGCCAACAAACAACGGAGATTCGTCGCTAGACCACAGAAAACGGAAACAACTAAGTGATATAAACAAGATGTTGAAAATAAATAATTGAACACTTTAAATAACTTTCGAAGCCCCATGCGTACCCTTCAAATCAAATAGATCTCCTCCCGACGTCAAGGCAACTTACCAGATATTCAAAATAGACTTCGATGCAGGAGCGAGCTGGAGTCATCTCTCAACGTGGAATGCCGATCTTCGATAAACACTTGCCATCTTACGACGAATAAGACTTCTTTGCGCTATTTTTAACAGTTGTAGGAGTTTGGCACAAGTTATCCGAGAAGCGTCTAGCCGCAACGATATGCGGGAACTTGTATCTAATAGGCACTTCAAAGTTAGATTCTGTCCATTAAAATTTCCAACCGACTGACTTCGAATATAACGTCTTCAGTAACATTTATCGTTACTACAAATGTTTGCTTGCGATAACATCTAGACTCTCGACATATCCTCAGTGTTATTATTTCGAGGGAATCGGACAAATTTGCCCATACCAATAAATAATGCAACACAAAATGGGATTTACTTTTATTCAACTCTACAAATGGGTATTCGTATCTGTTTCCGCACATAAAATCGTTACAGATCAGTTCCAATTTCTGATAATGAATATCACTACTGAATTTTCTATGAATAACAAATGCCAAAGTGCTTGACTTCAGGTCGCCGATTCGAACACTACAATCCCACTCCCTGTTCTATTACAAAACAAGTTTTCAGGTATATCACCAAGACTGAATTTTATTACATGTTAAATGTATCATCCATCATCTATGTCGACATAATTAATTAACGTCGCTTTTTAAGTTCTAACATAATATAACAAAATAATTACAAAGACACGTAGTCTTATCTGAATAAATGAAACTATATACGTAATACACATTCTTTCTTCTTCTTGATAAACAATAATGTAGGGATAGTTGTAAGAAATCATATTTATTAAACTACCATGTCATCAAAACACAGATACATTCTCTATATCCTTAATAATTACTAAAAAAAAAAAATTTTGGAAATAAAAACTGCTAGTAACTTTATAATCTAAAGCCCCGTGGACTATTGGACTTAGCACACAAAACAGCTGGAAAGTCATAATGAGCACACAACGACGCCGTAACGTAAGATGTCGCTTTAAATAATTTATTGAACAAGAGCAGCTCGCAAGAAATGCAACACCTACAATAACTTAAAGGATTATACAACTTCAGGGGGATATTCACAAAAAATAACAAATACCCTCGAATTAATTCAGAACACATCCAGGATCTTCTTTTAAATGGATTTTATTAGTTTAAGTCATTGGGTGTACAGCAAACATAGAGACACTTACGCTAAATTATCTTAGAATACAATTACTTGTCAATAACTCTATCAAATTCAACCAGGAGAAGAGTAGAATACTTTACACCGAAACCGATTTGAAACGAGGGTGGACACTTGTATATCCAGGCAGCCGAGTACACACATAGCCCACAATACCGACTTCAATATCATACACTCCTGAAAACACAAAACATTGCAATTTCACTTTCTATTTTAGGGCGAAACTAGTTATCATCAAAATTATAATGATATGTAATCGATCGTCAAATAAAATGTTATTAAATAAACCAATAGATGAGAATAATCGCTCAATATTATAATGACGATTAATAATAATTCCACAATAATTACGGCCCTGGAACTGATAGCAGATATATGTAAAATTGAAAAGCATATTTTTCCTGTTGACTGAATAAGCTTCGTTATTATACCTAAAATAATTCACCGATTCATTTGCAGTTTTAAACTCAAATTTTCCCATCGCTATCGCATCAAAAAATGTCGATATAAAATATAATATGCAAGTAATGTGACAATAAGTAACGACAGTTTTACAGTACTCAATCATTGATCTTTATGTTATGGATGCAGAGCAAGAGCTTGTCTAGTGCATGGTCTGATGATCAAGGGGGCCAAGTCGGGCAACTGCCTAGAGCGGCAAAAAAGAGTTTGTACAAAGTATAAATAATGGCAAAATAACATTTCTCCCCCAAGCAGCTAAATAGCTAGATTATTTTGTACTTAACAAACGCTGTTTCTTATATCTCGATGATACTATAAGCTACCTAGTACTAACTGCTAGATTAATAGGGAACAATGGACACGGAAGAAAAATATAATCCTTCTTGTTATGTCATAATGTTGCCAAACAAAATGTCAAACGAGAGATATTGAAACTTTTTATTAGTCTCCGAAACGTATCAACAGATCATACTGAGCGATTCATACCAAAATTTCTTCGAAAGGACGTATGAAAGAAACGGGCTTTTGATCTCCACTGAGGTAAAATTTCCAAGAAGGAAGTCATTATTATCGCGATTAATACGCAGGGCATTAACCTGATGAAATGTCGTGTTTACAAATTACATTATTGTTCCTAAGTACCTCTAAAACCTTATCCAAACAGAGCATAATAATATGTAGTTTCGTTATTAGTATACCTTTTAACAACATCACATCCAAATGTGACCTCATAACCATCATTTTGACCAACAGAATTTTAATCTTTTGAGAAATTGTAAAACAGTCACGTCGTCTTTTAAATATGAAATGTCTAAATCTCTACCGTTAATCTAGAAAGAGTAAATTATGCCAAAAAAATACAAAACCAATTCACTTACCTCATGGTACTCCATTTAGAACCGGTCTAAAAGAATCGCACGTCAATAGTCCTGCCATCAATGCGAGTCCTGTCAAACATTTCTGAGCAATTGCTTAAGGATATTATTTTTTTACATTTTAATATTTGCGAAGACGAGAATTACTAGAATTATTATCATATTATATCACATATTTCTTTCAAAAGAAATAAATCAATCAAATTTTTGACATAACAATTGTAATCGCCATTATAATCTTATATCAATTTATGTTGAAGTGCTACATGTATGCCATGGTAATTTAATATTATCATTCCAAACATATGTTTTTATACAGACAAAGCTGCAAAAATAATACTTGATATGATTAATTTTTATTTAAAGGATACTAATAGCTCGCTCGGCGTCCCATTCTTTATGGAATCTGACTATAGCCGTGTCAGATGCAGTCATTTCAGCAAACTTTACATCTCCACATTCACTGAATTTTTCACGGATTAACTGCCAAGTGACCGTTGGTGGAAGCTAAAACCAAATGATTCGTGAAAAATAAATCTTTAAAATAATTAATTCTTTCATATAATAAACGTTATTTATCTTTTTACTTACATTTGTAATGATAACCATGTCTGAAGGCTTCTCTCTTTGCTGTACATTAGATTCACGTCCATAGCCCTGGTTTGATACTGGAACTGCCATTGGCCTATTTGTACCTAATAAAAAACAACACTATCAATTAGGATTGAATAGATAACACGATATATACAAACTGTCAATGAAAAGTAAACGGTTGAAGTATAAGTATGTAACGACATTGCAGACAAAACTTAGGAAAAATTTTGCAATATGCAGATGACTCTTTGCAATAAGTATCAATCAGATACACAGCAAGACTAATGATCGCTGATCGCTCTTATAACAATTCCCAGAAGCCAAAATGCAACGTCCGTCAGATCTTACAATTTAACTTGGTACACTCATATCAAACAGGAGTGGGTGTGCTAATGAAAGCAAACGGCGTATGACTATTTCGAAGTCAACCATCAATAGACTAAAGAAAATATGGAGAAATAGGAACATCATAAAAGCCACAAAAAAAAGTCATTCAGGCTTTAGTGTTTCGCATATTTCTTTATAGTGCTGATACATTGACAATGATGGAGAGCGAGAAGAAGATAGACACTCTAAAAATGTGCTGGAGGATGGTGATTAACAAATCATGGATTCAATTTAGAACTAACATCTCTATATTGAAAGAACTTAGCTGCAATCTCACTTTCTTTGGTTTTCATTTCACTTTTTGTTCAATGTGATTTCACAGATAATTTTTTGTTTATTTTTTCTAACTTAAAACAACAATTATGAATGGTTTTCTGTATTTTAAAAATCTGCTAAGAGTGTAGCGACACAGAAGTTCTATATGACTATATATGTATGTAAGTAAGTACTACACTTCAACTATGAATCAGTGCCATGCACTTCCCTGTATCAGTGTCATGATAAATTAGATACCAACTTTGACTAGTAGACAAATAAAATGCCCAATGCAATGAAGTCTAGCAATTATATTATATGATTTGGATACAATTAAGTTTGAACAAATATTCTCATAGAAATATCAGAAGATTACTTTACTGTAATACTACATATGATGAATGTACAAGACATTAATAAAACCATGGCCATATAGAAATTTTATCATAACATTTTTATATTATTGTCAGTGCTCGCTAGTTACTATATAAAAGACTAGCTTTCCGCCAGCAGCTTGACCCGCGTGATCCCTAGGGAACTGTTTGTTTGGATATCGATTGTTATTATCATAGCATAGTTTTTCATACATATATTTTTGGTATCTTAAACCGTTATCGCAGCGCACGCAACGGAAGCCCTCAAGGATAAATAATTTTCCCCGTTTTTTCCACATTTTCCATTATTTCTTCGCTCCTAATAGTTGCAGCGTGCTGTTATAAAGCCTAAAGCCTTCCTCGATAAATGGTCTATTCGACACAAAAAGAATTTTTCAACTCAAACCAGTAGTTCCTGAGATTAGCGCGTTCAAACAAAAAAACAAACTCTTCAGCTTTATAATATTAGTATAGATACTCATATTTTACACACCTGACAAAGGTCCACTGTTTAAGTTAGAATTTCCACCCAATAAGCTGTTTGGCAAGCCTGAATTATTCAGTACATTAGATGTTAGGTCTGCATTACCCAAATTCAAATTCGAGTTGACACTAGCTTGAGCAGTGAGAACTGATGCCAAATCATTGGCAGTTAAACCTTGCTGTAATAGTTGGTTCTGGAGAGCACCCAATCCAGTTAAGCCAAGAGCCTGTAAAAAACATTTATCATATAGATGCAGTCGTTATTTTATAATAATATTAATTTTCTATTTTTTTACTTTTTATTTTTTTGTCCAATAAATAGCACGTCTTAAAAATGCCAACTGCCTCATCTCATATGTCCAGAATTAGCACTTAAACTATTCACAAACAAAAAACTGTTACAGGTTCAAGTGTGATAGTTAAATTTTTAAAAAAAATTCTAAGTAAGAACTGTGAACGCAAAATATACTAATGTTACAAGTAACAAAAACATAACTAACCTGAAGTCCTAAGCTATTTCCCAAAGCAGTATTTGTATTCAAAGCATTAGCTGATAATCCTGTCCCAAGACCATTCAAAGCCACACCAGCAGCAGTTGGTACTGCTCCTAACACTCCAGTGCCAATTGTAGCTCCAGTATTAGCAAGATTCAAATTATTTGCTGGATTTGACTGTTGCAGATTCCTTGCTACATCTCTCAAGGGTTCTCCATTAGGTCCTAAACCTAAACCTATACCCTTCAAACCTTCTGGCATTCTAAGTTCCATTTTATCAGACACTCCACGGTCCATACGTACAGTCATCCTGCGGTCGTAAAGCATTTGCTTGTCAAACATTGATATAGCCTGTAATAAGAAATGTGTTTAGTTCAGAAAGTAAATCAAAGAAAATTCTACAGGAAGACTAAAAGATATATATATAGTATTTTACCTGTACTGCTTCAACAGGGTGATCATATTCAATCACTGCAAAACCTCTACTGTTTCCATCTTTATCTACAGCCAAATCTATATTTCTTACTTTACCTGCCATTTTGAATACCTCTTTGATTTTAGTCCGATCAGCTTTATAATCCAACTAAAATAGATAATAATAATAATAATAATAATAATCTTTATTGACTATAAAATCGATACAACGAATTTTTACACCAGTGATTCTTAAAATATTTATTCATTACATCTATTTAACATCTGTTGCTGAACTTGGTTGATACCTGTATTTCAGCATACAGCGCCACTGTCCTCAGAAAATATGTAATAAGATAAAAAAACAATAATAACAAGCCACACTTAATAGATCTGAACAATAAGAAACAATCAACTTGTACTAGTTATTAGTATGTAATATAATCAATAAAGTGTAGGTATATTTATATGTAAAGTAGACAGTCCTCTCTGTGTGTAAGATGATTGTGAGTGAGTGTGTGTGAGAGGGTGTGTAGTATAGGTAGTAATAGAATTCTTTGATTAATTCGCTATCTCCAATAGATTTTCTGTTTCGGTATACGATAACCGTTGGATCCAATTAAATATAATTTTTTTTACTGTACTTTTATGAAGGGGATATATATTAGTAAATTTATTTAGTTTGTTATATATTAATGGGCCTATAAATGGAAAAAAACGGTGGGAGAAACTAGTTCGAAATTTAAGTGTAGGTTTGCAAACTGAATACCATCTTCGTTTTGTAAGATAATCCTGATTGAATTCTATAATCGAATGTTGTTTCAATACAGTATTTAGTAAGAACATTTGACGAACAGTCAGAACCTCGCAATACTCATATAGAAGTTTGGTGGGATAAAGAAAAGATTTAAAGGTGCAAATTTTAAGAATAGCTCTTTGTGCTACTTCTAGAGATTTAAGAGTTGTTTTTGGAACACCACCCCAACATGTGATACAGTATCCCAAAATCGACTGACACAACGCAAAATATACTTGTCTTAAAACAGTCGGTGGTATGACATATCTCAAAGTTTTAAATACCACCATCAACTTACGCACTCTTTTTGTCAAACTGAATATATGCTCCTTAAAATTGAGATTTTCATCAATCACAATGCCCAAATATTTTAGAGATTTCGCAGATAAAATTAATTGTTTCATTAATTTGAATTAACATCAAAGGAATGCAAAAAGAAACATTCACTTACATTGGCCACAAAGACTTTCTTTACTAGAGGAGGCTGGACATTAATAGATTCCAAAAACTGGAGACTTAAACCATATGTGTTGAAATTTTCGGGTTCTCTTGGTTTATTAACACCCCACCTGGTGATATACCAAAAACTATTAATCAATCTAATTTAGATTTAAGAAAAATGCAATTTTTTTACACATGTTATTATTTGTTTAATGTTATTTACTAAGCAAAAGTTATACAAAGCATAAATATCACTAAAAAATTAACAACTTTCAGTTTTTGTTGTTATAAATGAAATTGTTTAATAGAGATAAAAATCAAGCAAATAAAAAATATTATGGTAAATTAGCCATAATTTCACCGTGTCAGAAAAAGTGAAGAGTCACAAAAACAAGCAAGTGTTGGAATTCATATCAATCACTGTAATGGAATGATTCCTAAAAACTTAGAAAATATGTCAAGACAAGAGAACACAAAACAATTATATCATACCCATCTTTATCATCTCTAGGATTTCTACCACTGTTGCCACCACCTCCTCCACCACCACCAGATCTCGTAGAGTTCAATCTATTCCGTTCATTACCTACAATAAAAAAAAAAGTTAATTTTCTATGAGAGCAGCTATCCAACAAAATATTTACTCCCATAGAAAGGTATGAAAACCTAGACTTAGGCTTGTAAGATCATAGTGTAAGTTTTAGATTCCACTTATTGATCAACTCATGGTTCTAATCTACATTTAACAAGTTTATATTGTATTGATATGCACATTTTTTCAATATTGTCATATGATAATCCGTATATAATAATTGTAAAAATTCCCATCTATACCTGTTTCTTCCTTCAATACAAGCTTCCGACCATTTAATTCATAGCGATGCATCACAAATAAGGCTTTTTTCATAGCCTCTGAGTTAGTAAACTCAACCACTCCACATCCTCTGGGTTTTCCATTCTCATCATTGAACAGTTCAACATAGGCTACATCTCCCACCTGCAACCAAAAATAAATTTGTACTTCTTTAACATGGTGTTTCTAAATTCTTATTTATCATTGAAAACAGTATTGATTATGCATATATTCATCTTATAACTATCAAAAATTCCATTCGTATTGGCAAGAAACCTAACACATAATAGGTGTTAAATTTAAAACAAAATAGATAATTACTGACACTAAAAATAAAAGCTTTAGCTAACCTTCTCTTTAAATAAATCTTTCAATTCTGTCCACCTAAATTCATAGGGGATATTGGAAACAAAAAGACGCCTTCCTTCAGGACGTTCCCGCTCATTAGAGCGATCACGAGTGGCATCTGAAAACCTCGAAGGACGATCGCCGCGCCTCGACCGGTCTCTCTCTTTTTCCCTTTGGTTGTCCATTGTAATTTCTAAATTTTAAAGTAACAATAATATTAATACATAACGCAAAATGTTTTTACAAACATCGCGTGTAATGCATAGAAATCTAAAAAATACAACACTGCTAAAATAACCGGCAACTTGCTTGTAACAACCAACATCCAAATTACTTACCCTCCAAAGAAATTATAACTTTCTTTGAGTGTAACTGAACTCTATCAATATTATCAAATATAGCACGCGATCGTGTAATAAATGTTGCAATTGATTTCACGTCGTATCGTAGATAACGGACCCAAGCCGTTTTTGCCACAAAAACCACAAAATGGCGGTGGTGACGGTCAATCAGTCAGTGATAGTGAAAGGAAGTGGTCAGTGGTTTCCATAGAACACAAGGAATCGGTATTGTTCCCCAATAAAATCGATAATGTCGATTTGAAAATATGTAACCGAAATATACAAGAATCAGTAAAATTCGTTTATTTATATTAAAAATAAAATTTACGTTTATATAGATTTTAAAATAGAATTCATTATCTATATTACAATAAACTAATGCTTAAAATTAATCATTACGATGTGAATATATTAATGTTCTATTGCCATCATCATCATCGTAAAGTTGTTGAAAAAAATATGTTGGTGTATCCACTTTTTGTATTTCGATTTAATTTAAGATTACAATTTTTGTAATACTATTTCTCTTTTTTCAGTTGATTCTCTTAATTACGATTTAACGAAGTTGGTTTATGAAGTTTTTCCTAACTATTTCAGTCCTCGGAACGCACATAAAATGAAGAATAATGTATTACTTTGCGCACAAATATGACCGTAGGTTGCTTTCAATTAAAATTTTCATTATCACTGTAATCGATTGGTTCAGACTGATAAGTTAAAACCGAGAAGTTAATAGTATTACAAACTTCATCAACTAGTATTTTAACGTCAGTTTTAACTACTGACGTAAAAAACTTGTTGAAATGCTCTGTGGATTCACAGAGTACATCGTAATTATTTGTAGCATGTAGGCCACAAAATTGAGCAGAGTAAAATCTCATGAGAAGTTTTTATGAATATTATTTGTTGGGATTTCGAATTATGAACATATTAACTGTGTATTTATATTCTGGCGAGGTTTTTTTATATTCATTTTTATCGTGATGGCAAAACCAATGGAGTAAACATTTTATATGAGCATATTAATTACGTGTAACGGAACACAAATTTACTCAAGAGCGCCACCTGACGGTGTCTTGCAACTTTTTGTTTGTTCCACGATGACATACGCACACATTTATGTTTTTTGATTGTAGTGCTTCATAAATATTTTTCGCCTACGATAGTCATGCAGGAGGCAATCTGCGCCAAGTTTTTAATAAAATAAGTAGATAAAATAATTTACAAATTATGGAGCAGAGTAAATCTAATTCTCCTAAACTATTCGTGTGCACCGCTATAGAAAACAAGGATGAAATTGAAGAGGTACTGTGTACAATTTCGCAGTTTCCCAACAAAGAATGGTCTAGTCAGCCATGTACAACCTTATTTTCTGATATCGACGATAGTGGCGCTGCTGTTAATCTGGCGCGAAAATTTGATTTTCTTCATAAGAATAGTATTGGTAAAGTTTTTCTTATTGGTGTTTTGTAATTTTCAGAGATACGAACGAGTTTACATCTACGTTCAGACCCTGGTTGTGGATTGCAGTGAAAAGGAAGCACACGACGCTCTAAATAATGCAGTGTGTAAAAATCATGAAGATGTTTCACTTGGCCTGCTTATGTCCATTCTAACTGAGCCCCATAATGCCACAAAATGTTACAGAGATCTCACTCTTGTTACCAGAGATGGTTTTACATGTGTGCTCAACAACCTGTCAAATTTAATATTGGAGAGATATTTAAAATTTCAAGATACTACACGTAATCAACTACTGTGGCTTATTAAAGAAATGATTAGAAATAATGTAACTGGAGTTGACAGTGTATGTTGGAACCTCATGCGTTATGCTTCCGGGGGTGATATTTCCCCCAAAAATATAATCTTAGTTGAATCTCTTTTGGATATCTTCATTGAAAACAGAGCATGGTTAGATAAATTTCCAGTACTTATTTGCATGGTGGTTTACACATATCTAAGATTAATTGAAGATCACAATATACCACAACTTATAACACTAAGGCAAAAAGAAGTGAACTTTGTTTTAACACTTATTCGAGAACGGTTTGCCGATGTTTTAACTCTGGGTAGGGATCTGGTACGATTACTTCAAAATGTTGCACGCATTCCTGAATTCAATCAACTATGGCAAGATATTTTGATGAATCCAAAATCATTATGCCCTACTTTTACTAATGTTTTACAACTACTACAGACAAGAACATCTCGCAGATACTTGCAGTCTAGACTGACTCCTGATATGGAAAGAAAACTGGTATTCCTTACTTCACAAGTCAGATTTGGCCATCATAAGAAGTACCAAGAGTGGTTTCAAAGACAATATCTTGCCACCCCTGAGTCGCAATCTCTTCGAAGTGATATGATACGATTCATCGTTGGTGTTATACATCCAACAAATGAACTCTTATGTTCTGATATAATTCCAAGGTGGGCTGTAATCGGTTGGCTTCTTACAACTTGTACATCCAATGTGGCTGCATCCAATGCCAAATTGGCCTTATTCTATGATTGGCTGTTTTATGATCCTGAAAAAGATAACATTATGAACATTGAACCTGCAATACTAGTTATGCATCACTCAATGAGATCACATCCAGCTGTCACTGCAACATTACTTGATTTTCTATGCAGAATCATTCCAAATTTTTATCCACCTTTTGCTGACAAAGTAAGACAAGGAATTTTTAACTCACTTCAACAAATAATTGAAAAGCGAGTATTACAGAATTTACACCCATTATTTGACTCACCTAAATTAGACAGGGAGTTACGAACAACTGTAAGAGAAACCTTCAAAGAATTTTGTACCAATGGGAATGGAGAAGGTGTATCAGGAATGCGTGATGAAGGAGCAGAAGAGATTCCAAGAGGAGGACCTGATGAGCCTGCTTTTTCAGATGATGAAGATGATGCCCCACCCAATATTGCAGAAGACACCGATGATGATGATTTGCCACTATCTGAAGTTAGAGCTAGAGAAAGACCGGAACTAGCTGCAGCTTTACCGCTTATTTTACGGCCATTGGCAGAAACACTTTTAGATGAACGTTCTTCGTCTGCAGCCACAGCATTATTAAATGCTTGCGGTTCTCCAATGCCCACACCTACAGCACTAGCAGATTTATTCACAGCAACTGTTCAGGATATGCCACTATTAAAAATCAATCGTAACCCAAGTCCTACAGAACTTGATACAGCATCAAATACCCCAATATTTTCCATGTTCACTTTCCTCACTGCCTCTGGTGATGGAACGGAAGCTAAAAAGAAATTAGTTTTAGAAACGTTTAAGGAAATTCATGCTCAGAATGCTTTTAACAGTGTAGGATTTTATTTACTGTTCTATTTAAAGGTGTGTTACGAACGCGATAGACGTGCTGAACGTGATTTAGTGAAAAAAAGAGAGGTGAAATTTAAGGCAGAAGTATACAGAGATTATTGTAGCTTCCTTGAATTAAAACTAGGAGAGAGTTTAGCTGATGACTTTGAAAGGTGTCAGGAATGTGATTCAAATGTTTTAGTGTGGTTGATACCAGATGTCTACAGAGAATTCAAAGATCAAGCTCAAAATCATATAAGATTGCTCCATGCTATAGTTTCTACATTAGACGCAGGGCAGTTACAACGACTGGTATGCCTAACTCTACAGGGCAATTTAATGATGTTTAAATCCGACGACTTCAGCACGATGCTTTCGACGAGCCTCAATTGGGAAACTTTTGAGCAATACTGCCTTTGGCAACTTTTGACTGCTCACGACATTTCAGTAGAAGATGTCTTACCCATCATTCCCAAACTGTCTTTCAAAGAGCACGCAGAAGCACTGACATCAGTTTTATTGATGTTAAAACAAGAAAGACCAACTGCTGATGTTTTACGACAGTTATTTTGTAGATCTGTAGATGAAGAAGATTCCTTCGTTTTGTCGACTTTAAAAAACTGGTGTTACGATTATGAGGATAAACTTGGAGATCTTGTATCTGTTTTATTGAGTACACGATACCCAGGCACGAGTCCCAATAAAAGAAAACGTCCTAGCAAACACAGCATACCACCGAACGCTCCACCTTCTGCAGAATTGGTAAGCATTTATCTAAATACTAGTACTTATACTTAACACTTTACACGGGATTTCCCCCGAATGCTAAAACGAAAGGAGCATTCAATTTTTTGCTACAAGCACTACACAAATATCATACTATCACAATGCTCCTTTGCTATATACGAAAAAAGGACTAAATAAAAAACTTTCATATTTAAAAGATAAATATGAATATAGAGAGAACTTTAAACGCAAGTTGCAAACTCAACTAAAAAGAAAGTATTTAAAAATAAAAAGAAAGCACCGATAAAGCACCTCCACTAGATGGCGACTCTAGCAAAAGTTGATTTTTGCAGGAAATGAATGAACCAAAGATCGTCATCTCCGTTCCTTTTAATTAACATATTAAACAAACTGAAATTTGTAAAGTTCAAAACTTAGATATCAATACAAATACGAAATGGTACAAATAGAATATGAGTTGTTTATTGAGTTTTGAAAACTAATTTACTTTTATACGTGAAAGAAAACCGGAAGGGTTGTCATGGAGAAATCAATAAAGTACCGTTGCGATGTCTAGTTTGATTTCGGGAACTAATGTTTTTTTTTTTAATACTTCCTCATTGCGTTATGAAAATCAGAAATACTGGCGGAATTATAACCAGTGTTGCCAAGTCGATGCTACATGACATCTCAAAAAATGCTAGAATATATCCAAAAAATAGTGTTAAACATGTTTTTCGCACAAGCAAAAATAAAAAAATAAACACACAACATAAGTATCTATTTACTGTTATTATAAAAATATCACTTAACCAAAGCCATTCTTCGGATTGTGCATGGGACAAATATCCAGATTTCTAATTTATTTTTTAAAGTGCAGACGTCGTTTCGTCTATCTAATCATTTTTATAAATCTCCGAATTACATTTTCTTTGATCTATAAAATCTTTTTATTATTTTTATTTTGTGGTTATACATGAAATGTATCCTAATATATTATAAGTTAAACATTAAAAATAAATTGAATTTATTTTAAACCGTAAAATCGCCAACTTCTGTCATGGCATCGCTATAACACTCCTCTTTAAACTAATATCGTTCCTTGAATGCATAAGGTTTAATTCTCTAAGTTGAACCTAAGTTCCGATTTGAGTAAGATGGACGTGACGTCACGCTCTGTTTGCGTTCACGTAACAACGAGTATAAAATATTTGATTTATCATAATTAATTTCAGAAATATAATAAGCATCAAAGTGTGGTTATTGGTAATATTATATACTTTTATCTAAAACTTTTTAGAGCGTGATTTAGCTGTAGTCGGATCGGGTACGCTCCACTTTGAAATTATTTTCGACAGCAAGTTGTGTGCGTTAGTTAATGTATATGTATGTACACTTCTACATACACTGACGGGTATTTGAAATCGAGAAGAGAGAATAAAAAAAAAATAGGTTTTATTAAGACCTAGGACTTATTTGGGTCACCCTCCCTACTTAACTTTAGAAACCGGTTGTTAGTAAGGAAGATTATTAAGTGTCAGTTACTTTATAACCAAGGGAATTATGCACTTTATAATAAACGTATCTGTTTACGAGTACTTAATCAAAAACCGTTTTTGCCATCTGCTTTCCGGGCGGTTACATAGACAAGGACAGTTTTTTACTTTAGGCCCTTTCTTAGGTAGGTCGTACTTATGTTTTACGCCATCCCAAGAATAAATTGAATTGTAAGTCCTCTTAATGTTAATTCTGCTTATGTTTTTTTTTTAATTCTCAGGTCCTGGCCCACTTGGAACAAATGAGGGTGAGCTGTGTTGAAAATGACGATATGTCCATTTTTAATATGGAATGTATGCAGAAAGCATTACAACAAGCACAATCTAATAGTAGTGATAGTATAAGGGTAAGAGCTTTATTCCAATACTATGGTATATTTAATTAAATTATCGAATGAAGTTTTAACAGTTGGCAAAGCAAAATATTGCTTAAGTTAATGTTACTAAGTGTTAATTCTTAGTCAATCATTTTAAGGATATCTGCTAAGCCATGCGCTTTGAACTATTCTAATATTTTTCCTTGCAGATGTCAGCTAAAATAAATTATTTAAAAATATTGGAAATAGTCTAATAGTTTTTTCGTTGTACATACTTCTTTTACTACTACTTACATACGTTGTACTTTTGACCATTCTTTGCATATGTGCTAATATGATTTCTCCCTTACCACTCATTTTATTTATAAAAAAATATATTTCATCATATAAAACGTCTCACCATAAATTCTACTCAATACTTTTGATTGAGTACACAAAGGTATATCTTTTTATTATCATCATTGAATTAAACAGTTAAGATCTTGTTCATATTTCTACAGCATTTATAAAACACGAAAGGTTTGTATCGATACTGTTTAATCTATAACCACAGTTTAATTGCGTTAATGTAAACAAATGTTTGTTACTCAGAATCGATTTAGGCCCAGATTCATACAAGTTCGTCGTTGTTCTTTTCTTTACGGATGTTAATAGAACTTTAAGTCACTTACGGCCAGTTGCGCAAACGTCCATTAAGGTAATAACGCGACATTACCCATTTGTATGGGTAATGTCGCTTTAAGCTACTGTCAATTTTAATGGACATTTGTGCAACTGGCTGTTAGTAAACAGTATTTTTAAACATCAACGTCTTTCACAGAGTAATGAGCAACGAATAGAGTAATAGTAAGAATTTAATATTCTTTTATTTATAATTAGATGTAATTTTTCCAATAGTACATCATTGCTGCATATTTGGATGTAAGAAGGAAGGGAAATATTCATTTAATTCATAAAAAAAGTTTGATTGTTTGTTACATGCAATAGTGCTGCCATCTGCGCAGAGCTTTGCGTAGTATTCCCTATTGATAGTAGCACATTAGACAATAATACTTTAAACCAACTCAAAATTTCGCAACTGATTTTAAAAATAACAGTCAATTTCGTCCATTTTCTTTTATTGTGAATACTGTATATTTATTAGTTTAGTGATTATTAGGATGTATGACTCGGCAAACGGAATATTAATCAGTAATCGAAAAATATCTGTTTTGTTATTTCTTGTATTGCAATAAGACTTCTCCGTGTGAAATAAAATAGGGAGAAAAAAGCAGCCCTTGCTGAGTTTCTTCTCAGTACAAGGTCTGCCGCCGTAGTTTTGCAAACCGATGGCATAGTTTTCGACTTTCACGAGTGCTTGTAACAGCCTAGACTGAATAAATGATATTGAATTTGAAACCAGTCCGCGAGCCTGCCTATCGTGTGCGCCCGCCATCCGCTGTACGTGTACAAATCCGACGCGCGCGTACATACCCGACGCACGCGTCAGCGACAGAACGCTGGCACATACTATCTTTCATAACAAACACACAAAGCGCGCACTCGCCGTGTGCGCATGCTAGAATTAACGACTGCCCATATTATTATGATAGGGTATTTCGGTAGTGAAAAATAAGTCACGAAATTGCACAAAAACTAAAATTTACATCGTAATAAACATAGATTCTGGTTTTGGTCCTAAAAATCGCATGATTATCATAGTATCTTAAAATTATAAGTTGTATTTTTTTGTCTGTGTGTCACGTGACTTGAAACACGACCCGCAATAGGGATGACGACAAATTTTTGTCTGTTTGTCCGTCAGGTAGAGTGTTAAAAAATATTAAACACGTATTTTTTTCGTAATCATAAAATTACGGCGTTACATGGAGTTGATATTTCGCATGACGTCACGTTATGGTACCTTTTCTACTAAACTGTGACGTAGCAAACCCCCACTCGTCAACTTTAATGCCTGTTATCTAAGCTATTTCTTGTTAAATTGAAGTAAAAAAAATACGTATCTAATATTTTTCTATTACCTGACTGACGGACTAAATAGGATTGCATTTTTTTTACCGAGTCGTCATCCCTATTGTGTGAAGTCACTGTGGCAAAATCTGTCAGATTAATCCTATAGATATGCCTATTAATTATAATTCAAATCCTGAAAGGCGCTGTCCTTAGCTTTTTTATATATTTTAATTTTGTAATCAATCGTTAGATGGCGTTTTTATTGTTTTAATGACATTTTTTTAATCTTCTAGTCTATGCATCTGTTTTGTGTACATATCACAATGACTTCATGAATATGACGGACAGCGTTTACGTAATTTTAAATTTCGATTTAATTTTAAGGCAATAAAGTGTGTTTATTTTTCCGAAATATTTGTTTCATGGCTTTTTTTAATTAAAATAAACAGTTACAAGTGTTATTTCAAAGTAGAATACCCTGTTATTAATTTTACGATTAATAACATTTTATTGTTCTTTTGTTTCAGAAACAGTATATCGATTTATTTTCATTAGCACGAGAAGATGAATTACCAATATCAAGGCGAGCAAGAAAATTAGTATCAAACTCATTACCAATAAACGCAAACTTGCATTCATCTAACGACGAGAGTGAGGTAAAGTGATTTTTCTATATTTGTATATTAACCACAATTTCATATTTCAAATCGCTTACGTCACTGCACATACCTCACGCCCACACACATCAATACAAAATGCCAAAGAATCATGTCAAATTTTTACCTAAAAATTTAATAACGCAATTAGTGATCTCAAAATGTCGCTTATTTTTTACTTATTTCATATCAGGAAAAATTTTTTTTAAGTAAAGTCAGCATAAAAATTGCGAGGCTGTTAATGAGGAAGAAGAGAAGAAGAAAAAATTTGTTCCCGAATTCAAACTAGATGTCGCTACCGGACGTTCTTGATTTTTCCATGACAACCTTTCCGGTTTTCTTTTTAGTATCATCAAACTTATATTCTATTTGCACTTTTTCGTATTTGTATTGATATCGAAGTTTCGAACTTTTCAAATTTCAGTTTTTTAATATGTTAGTTAAAAAGAAATAGAAATGACTGTCTTTTGTCCATTCGTTTCCTGCAAAAATCAACTTTTGCTAGAGTCGGCATCTAGTGGAAGTGCTTTTTTAGTGCTTTTGTTTTTTTTAATACTTCCTCATTATTTTTAAATAGTAATTACATCTACTACGAAAACAATATTCTTTCGTCGTAAGGTAAAAAAATGAACATTAACAATTACATTTATTTCTATATTTACGAATTAAACTACATATAAAAAGCTTTGATTACATTAATTTTTAAAGTAGCTTCATAATTATCTCTAGTTTTGACACTTATAACCTCAAAAAATTATTAAGAAATTAAAAATCTCCCTGGCCTCCAAATGAAAAAATGCTAAGTTATTATTCTATTTTAAGTAAAAACTAATTTAAATGACCACTAGTGGTAAGTAGACGCGACCTTTAAAAAACACATGACAGGCCCATCAATGTATGGAAAGTGGACATGATTCTTTATGCAATCAATTTTGAACTTAACTTGTATAAGACTTAAAATGATTTAGAGATCTTTACCAGCCTTCTATAACCCATAGTTGGGTACAGGGCTCCACATTCGCACGCCATTTTTTTTTTATGCTTTGTGCATCCAGTTTTTCCCGCAGAGTATCGTAATGTCATCTGCCCATTTTGTTTGTTGTTGACCATTACTTCTTCTTCCTGTCCTTGGTCCTCACTCCAATACTTTAAGATCCCATCTATCATCCGTTCTTCGGCTAACAAATCTCACCTAACACCACTTCCTCCTTTCAATTATTCGTGCTATGTCGGTCATTTTAGTACGCCTGCGGATTTCTGTGTTCATTTTATGTTAAACTATCTATTTTCCTGCGACTTAAACCGCATAAGTTTAGCCTATAACACTCACGGATATGATGTAGCTTCCCGTAGATGAAAAAAATTTCATGATCGGTTCATTATTTCCGAAGATCAAAACTAACTTCTATATACTTACTTTATTGACAGTACCTAGTCTAGTCATAAGTTCTGTTCTGTTTGTGTTTGTTGTTGGAATTTCCACACTTCGTTTTTTAATAAGGTGTTGTTGAGAGGTTTAACTAACGCTTCTAACACGGTATCTTGATACACTTTGGCTGAAGTTTTTTTCGCAAAAATGGAGTTTTGTAACCCCACACAGGAGAGTGTAGGAGACACCCCACCAAACCATGACGTATTTTGAATGATGACGTCGCTGAACTTTGGCCACTACCTCGGAAGCTTCTTTAGAGCTATGTGCATACACTCATTTTGTTTGTTGTAGTGCTCCTTGATTGTAAACATGTTTTAGTGCCTGGTTTAAGGTATGTCCTGTGTATCTCCGGTAAGCCCCTAGATCTAAGTCTTGTTCGATAATCTGAGAAAGTGTCCTCGGTGGAATTCTCATTCTCTGGAAAGGATTTTCTGCTTGCTTATGGGATTTCGAGGAATTCTGGCCTTGACTGCATTAACGGCCTGGTTTGTTCGAATAGACAGCGGTCGGCCGGATCTTTCACGGTCATCTATAGACATGATTTCAGTGTACCTTTGGATGGTACGATAAACAACCATTCGACTAATCCCTAGCTTTTCAATGTATCAAAAATGTCGGCTGGGTCCTTATCTACTTTAAACAGTGCAATTACTGCATTCCTAGTCTCTTTAGTGCCCCACTCCATTTCTAAACAAAAAATATACAATAATGGCAGGAATGTAGTATATATTTTGATCATAGAAACTAATGTTCGAAATTCAATTAAATGTTTTTTTTAAATGTATGTAAACAGCCAGTAACAGAATTAATGGCTAGACTAGGTACATTGTATTAGATTTTCTCTATCAGTCTTGTGCTTTGTAATGAATGAGTTAAGGTAAAAAAAAAATGCAGGAATTTCAGTCTTTTAATGTAAAGTTTATAAACTATGAGACTGTTTATTGTACAAAACTAGCGATTTTATTTTCTGTATATGTCGTCATTTTTGTGCAAGGTTAAGGTTATAGTAGGTACAGTAGGTACTCACTCGCATACTAACACATACTAACACTCGATTTAATCATAGATTAAACAGACTTTTGAAGTTAAAAAAGCTTCAGAAAAGTTAAAAAATGGTTCATGAAACTTCTATTGAAATCGGGCGGTTATGTGTAGGTTGTTAATATTAACCGCTCGATTTCAATTATATTTAACCACCCTTTTTTGAAGTCTGTTTTATATTTATATTTTTATTTGCATTTTTTGAACACAGTAAAACTTTTAACAGTTTATATCTTCAAAACTACTTCATAAGATTTGCCATAACTTTCTTTAGTTTTTCATTAGTGTATTCCTATTCGTTCCATAAGTAAGAAGCTCAGCAATCAAATAAAAATCAGAGAGAGCGAGAGCTAAGTAGACAAAAATACAGACATTTTTTATTGACCCCATCACATGTAGGTATATATGTTGAAATATGTATGTTACCGTCTGCTATATTCTGTATCACTTTTATTTTTTGTTTATAATTGTAATGTTTAATGTGATGGTCAATGAAAATATTTACTTACATTCACATTATATTTACAAAAGTTAGAACACATGTTCAAAAACCCATATAAAATGTCTCGCTAGTCCAACGAAATTACGTACAAATTGATAATCTTCTTTTTAAGTCGGTTGCTTGTTTGACATTCTTTAACTTTTTAAGTTTTATTTTATACTCTTCCATCCTCACAATTTTCGTACCAAGGGTACTAAAGTTTATGCTTTGTATTTTTAATTATAATAATTTCCATTTTTGTATTCCACAAAACATTTATTTAAATGTTCATTTCCATTATTATATTGTGCAAATCAAATGTAGGCTTCAAAGCGAATACAATCCCGACTATATTAAAGTACTAGCTATTTTCCCGCGACTATATATATATATATTATAGCCTGTATCACCCGCATGATGTATGATGTAGCAGCCTGTAGGTAAAATAATTTTCATGATAGGTTCAGTATTTCCGAAAATTATCCCTTACAAACAAAATATAGTTAAAATCATTAATCACCTATTAATTGTATTATTCATTTGTTAAACACAGGAAGAAGACTTCGTGAAACCAAAACAAGCGAAACGTCGCAAGAAGGCAATTTCAGACAGCGATTGACATATCTCATATAAAAAAGACGGTAATTTTAAACACCAAAGTGCAACTCTACAATACAGTAAATATTAGTATTGTGTAATACTTTAAAATTGTTTGTTACCTTATGTTATTAATCGGGTACAATTCCAAGAATGGTACCTTAGTTCATTGTCTTAAGTTCGCATTGGTATTGTATATGTATGTAAATTTAATATAAGTTTTTTTTTTCCATGTATCAAACGATTACTTCGGAGTGTAGTACTTAATGCACTTTACGCTAAATATTCCATTTATTCAGAAACAAAACTTACAAAGAAAGTAAGGAAAGTTTTCCAGCAAACCAAGCAAAGGGATTTATGTTTCTAAGTTTAAAGTGATTTATATCAATGAATTGAACAGGACATGTTTTATTGGTATTCGTTTTTACCTCGGTTATCTTCTCAACAATCCTGGTTAATCACAAAAAAAGAACAAGATTGACGATAAATAAATGAGTTAATTGTCTGGTCGTTTTATCAAAACAATTCATATTGATATATGCCGTACATAATATTTCTAATAAAAATATCTATCTGGGACACGTCCTTAATGACAATTACCATTATGACCACCTCATTGCTTGGTGGCTCGAATATCCTTTTTTCTTTTAATAAAAAAACAACATTATTTTTCCATAATAATTTATTTCACTGTACATTTTGACACAGTTTAATAATATGATACAATAATATGTTTTAGGTAAGGTACCCAATTGTTGTACAGTTTCTTTTTATTCTCTTGATGTCGGCCGGATTTTATTTAACTATGTAAGGTATTCGACCAAGTTTTATTCAAAAGATATATTGTATTGATGCAATTTTCGAAATACGTTTTACACTAGGATCAATAAAGTATTTCCCCTTAATTGTATTAAACTTTTATTTTCCCGATTTAAGTATATGTATGTAGATATTTGTACATAATAATTAGGTACTTAATATAATAAAACAAGTAGATATAAAGGTTTCGTTTTCCTTTTTCATTACATTACATGATAGCTTGATATTGCAGTTATTTATTTCATAACAAAATTGAATGTCAGTTTATAGTACACTATAAATACCTATTCCGATTAGACTATTATATTCAATAAATGGCAGTGTTGCTATTTGGGGAATGTACACTGGGTGGGCCTCTGTCTGTCATTGTCATTCTTTTAATAATAATTATCGTGCAAATTTCCGATGCAGGACAGATACAGGATTTCTGAAGGTGCTTCTATATCATAGAAATATATTTGGTATCTACCTACACGAAAATTTTCTTTTCTATTATATTATATATAAAGAGTATTGGAAAAAAACTAAGTCGAGCAAATAACAAATCTCCTTTCCTAAGACTTTCACTTTGTTGACATATTTTATATAGATATTTAATATTTTTAGTGTTACTGTTATATAAAAAATATCTATAACACTAAAAATAATGAAATATTCCTTCATTTCAAAAAATAGAACCGACTTCAATACTGAAAAAGCTTCTGAGATAAGTATTACTTATCTCAAGTAATACTTATCTCAAAAGCGACTTATTGAAGCTTATCCCAACTTCAATAGCAGTTTCTTGAATACGTCGCTTTTGAGATAAATATTATTAAAAAATTTATTCTTCATGTATAATTAAAGGGACTCCTCATAAGTAACTGAAAGTAAATTTTTTTTCAAAAATGACACTAAGGTTCTTTTTTCACAATTTTTAGTTATTTAGTTATACCTAAAACAATTTCGTTTTTAAAAATGACATCTGTCCTAACCTAGCTTCTATGACTAGATAAAAAAGCAAGAAAATTTATTTTAATTTTTAAAAATCATTCATATATCACATTAAATGCGTTTTTAGTGTCTCAATAAAAAATTTATTGTAACGTAGTTAACCAAATTGCGAATCAAAATATTAACTAAGAATATTGGGTTCGTCGCAGAAAACAAAAGGCGACTGCCTTCAACAATATCCTTTTATTAATTACTTAGCTTTCCGCGAGCGGCTTCACCCGCGTGATCCCTAGGCTAGGGAACTGTTTAGCGATATAAATATTAGTAAAATTATCTACTCCTGTGTAAACAGGGTAAAAACACGTTAGCACATGGTCATTAAAGTCCCTTATACATATATGCCGCAATCAACCTAGTTGTCACATTCGCAACGAGAGTTAGTATATCGATGAATTAACGTAACAAGATAACTTAATTACAAATTGCAGAGATAAATCAGCTGAGTGTTATACTTTATTTAATCTTTATATTTCTTTAAATTTAAAAAGCTGCTAACCTAAATTTCTCGCAATAAGATAGAAAGCACATACAACTTAATTTTAAAATCGAAAACAATCCATCCACCCTTATATGAGATAGTATTAAAAAAGTATGTTTTTTACAATAATCCATCTAGGAATCGAATTGCGTGCAAGACTCGACGGAGGTCATCACGGAGAATGTGGTAATACCATTTAACAAACCTCTTATTCCTATAAAGGGGTATAAAATAATCACTAGTCTAAATTGTAAACTTACAAAAATTAATATCCGATATATATGTATGTATAAGCACTTAATTTAAAACACCTACACCAAATTAGAACTTTCTTTCTTTTCTTTATTGTTATCAGAACAAGGTTTACTTATATAAAAGATAAATTTCAAAAAATGTACCACCATAAAGAAGCCAAAGTGAGCAGTTCGTTCTAATTAAAAAACTTCGTCATATTTCTGAATATCTTTATAATGGAGGTATACAGGAAAAATTGTTATCACTAGGTACCACGGATTTAATCCATGTCAGTATACATTTTAAATTTCATATTTAAATATTAACATCAATAATGTAATTTATTATAAATCATGTTTATTATAAAAAAGGAATATATTGACAAGAAGTAGTCATTTACCTTCGGGTACACTTGGTATATTATAAGTAACAATCTGATCTAATTTTTATCTTTGATGTTAGTGGTAAAAAAAAGACAGTAAAGAAACAATCATGATTTACAGTGATGAACCATTAACTGATTACAAATTTATCCTGTGTAATGATTTTTATCACGCCAATTCAAGTAAAATATTAAATGGGAAATGTAAAATTCAGCCAGATGCCTTGAACGGTCAAGGTCTTTTTATAAATTATCTCAACAAGGCTATCTAAAATTCGATAGTAATTTTTCGTAATAAAAATCGATTAAAGACCATACTCGTTTCATCAAGGATCTGGCAAGCAACTTTACACTCATTTTTTGGCTAATTATGTGAATATAATGAAAAATATTTGTTACACTATATTCCACACCAAACATAATCGTCGATCTCCTTGGGTCGGAGGCGCAGATTCGATGCGTAATTAATGTAGCAATTCCACATTTTTTTTTTCAAAAGAAAATAACCTAACCTAACCTTACCTACCCAGACCCTATAAGAATCCAACTTCACAGAAGTGATTTATTATAAGTTATATCTTAGAACTAAAGTTTTCCCTGTTTATACCTTTGGCGTGCTTGCGCCTTACTGTATTTGTTTTTCTTCTCAGGTATTACAGTTTCCTGTTCATTAGGATTGACACCTGTAATAAGAGAAAATATTTTTGAAATCATGAAATAAATTATCTACCTAGATATATGTATAACTAGTCAAGCAGCTAGTTTAAACTACTAGGAAAAGCTCTCAAGACTGCCCGTGCAAATAATGTCACCCGCCTATAATGTAGCTTCCCATAGATGATTTTTTTTTTAAGATCGGTCCTGTACTTTCGGAGCCTATTCGGTGCAAACAAACAGTCATATCTTTCCTCTTCATAATATTAGTATAAGAAAGAAAACAGTGATACAACATATAGATTCAAAGTATATGCTGCTGTGTGTGGGATGAATTTCTGTATGTCCCAATATTATTTCATATATTTGACAAGACTTAACAGCTGATATTAATTTTGGTTCAAAGTGATTAACTAACATTTTGGAATAATACCTGATGTCCTTTCCTACTATTTTATCGAAAAGGACAGAGATTTGAATTTTTTTTTTCTGTGTGGTAATCTGCAATCAGCATTGTGTGCTTTAAGCAGGTATTTTGTGTGTATCATCATTTGTAGAGTGTGTCCTCCAGTGAGAACAACTACTCGTAGTTGTTATCTTCCATCAGATTTGTTACATGTCCAGAATGTCCTTTCTTTTAAGGCGCTTATTGTAGCTTCGATTTATTAGCTTTGCTGCCAGTTCATTTGGATATCGTTTCAATCTGTCTGTGTAATTTTGTGTGTAATTTTGGATTTCTTCCTTCATAGTATTCATTCTTAGATATTTGTGGATTTCAGTGTTGGCTATGAACCACGGCACATTACTTAGAGATCGAAGTATGGCATTTTGTGCTCTTTGTAGTACTGTAATGCTGGAATTGCTAGCGCTTCCCCATAACTGGATTCCATAAGCCCAGACAGGCTTGAGAAATGTTTTGTAGATTAATAGCTTATTGTCAATAGACAACTTGCTGTTTCTTCCCAAGATCCAGGATAAGTCTTTATAGCGAATATTTAATTCATTTCTCTTGGTTTTGATATGATGGTTCCACGTGAGCCGTCGATCAAGATGTAGGCCAAGGTATCGCACTTTTTCATGGTGAGGAAGTGGTAAGTTTTCGAATTTTACTTGAGGACAATTTCCAGTTCTGAGAGTGAATGTGATCTGTACCGATTTGGAGGCACTCGCTTTAATTTTCCATTTCTATAACCATTTTGTGATTGCGTCTAGTCCAACTTGCAAGATTTGTGATGCAGCAATAGGATCTTTGCTACTAGCTAAAATTGCCGTGTCATCAGCGAATGTGACTGTTGTGATTCCCTCTATTTGTGGAAGATCTGCTGTATAGACAGTATATAGGACCGGCCCCAGGACTGAACCTTGTGGAACACCAGCTTTGATCTCAAAGAATTTGGAGGTTTTATCTGTTTCTTTGACTTGGAAGATCCGTTCAGAAAGGTAAGAGCTCATAAGGGTGTAGAAGCTATGAGGAAGGCTGGTGCGTAGTGTACAAAGTAGGCCCTTGTGCCAAACTCTGTCAAAGGCCTGTTGTATGTCCAGAAAAGCAGACGAGCAGTATTCTTTTTCCTCTAGTGTTCTCCGTATCCTGTCAACAACGCGATGTACCTGTTCAATGGTTGAGTGTTGATGTCTAAACCCAAACTGGTGACTGGGTATTATCTTTGTGGCCTCTAATATTGGCAGTATTCTTTTCATGAGTAATTTCTCAAACAGCTTAGATAGTATTGGGAGTTGGCTGATAGGTCTGTATGATGTGACATTGTTAGCTGGTTTACCTGGTTTATGTATCATTTGAATTTTTCACAGGTTAGGGTAGTATTGTACTCTTAGAACACCATTGAATAGGATAGTTAAAAAGACAATAGTTTTTCGCGGTAGTTGTTTTAGGATTTCTTTTGTGATAAGGTCAAATCCGGGAGCTTTTTTGTCTTTGAGTTCCGCTATCATTCTCCATACCTCTCTTACTCTCTTACTGTTACAGGAGCTGGTGGTGGCGACATTTGAAGGTCTTGATTCAAAATCGTATCGACTTCGCTTTTATTTTCAGAAACTTATTTCATTTGGACAAAATATTTCAGCTAGGTGTTCAGCAAAAATATCAGCTTTTTCTTGAGAAGTTCGTGCCCAGCCATTATTTTTTCTGAGCGGTGGTTTAGGTAGTTGTGGTCTATCGTAGTTTTTAGTAAATTTCCACAAAGAATAATTTGTTGATACTGTAGGAGTCAATGATTCTAGTTGTGTTTGTAAGGTGCTATTGTGTCAGTGTTGAAGCATTTGTTTTAGTTTTTTAGCTTCTTTGTTAAAGAGTTTCTTATCTTCATCAAGCCTACTTAAATGCCAGACTCTTCTCAATCTTCTTTTTTCAAGGACAGCATTCTTTATTTCGAGGGGATAATTGGAGTGTTTTGTATAGCACATTTCTTCTTTAGTGTTTAGCCAGCAAGCCTTTTGTATAAGACATGTTATATGTTTTGCCGCGTTTTCTATATCCTCTGCTGTTTTGAGGGCAATTTTGAGCTCAATCTTTTCATCAAGAAACTCTCTGAAAGATTTCCAGTCGGTATTTCTATTATAAAGAGTGTTTGGTCTGTGATATTCTATTAAAAGTGAGCTTACAGTCAATAGCACAGGTGTATGATCTGAGCAACTGTCATAACATGATTCGGGTTTTAGGTAGTGCTTCGAAAGGCCCTTCGTGATATAAAAATCGACAAGGTCCGGAGTTTTATTTGGGTCTTTCGGCCAGTAGGTTGGCTCTCCAGTGGAGATTGTTAGCAGCATGTTATTGTTGACGCTTTTTTTTAATTCCCTTCCTCTGATAGTAATAAGTCTGGATCCCCAATGAGTGTGCTTGGCGTTCCAGTCGCCACCAATGATAAAACGGGTCTCAAGCATTTTAAAGAACTCGTCATACATAATATTAGATATTTTATGTTTAGGGGGGCAGTATATTGCAGACACATTAAGATGGCCAGTGTTGTCTTCAATAGAAATTGTGGTGGCTTGAATATGTTCTGTTCTATATTCGGGCATAAGGTAATGGTTAACTGTTTTTCTTACGATTATTGCTGTGCCTGCATGCCCTGTGCCATCTGGGTGTAATGTCACATAACACTGGTAATCCTTAAACTTGATATTAGAAGCTTTGGTGCAATGGGCTTCTGAAACTAGTGGTATATCTAGTTTGTAGTTATTTAATAGGAGCTCAACCTCATGTTTATTTGGTGTTAATCCATTTGTGTTCCAGGTTCCTAGTCTTATTGCAGTCATTTTGAGGTCTTGGCGAGGTGGTTGACAAGTGTAGTTAGGAGACTCATCAGAGTACTCATTTGTTCTAGAATAAGTTCGAACTTAACCGTTTGTCTCGTGAGTAATACTTCAATATTGTTGCTGGGTTCCTTGCTATTTCCAAATTTTACAGCTTCGGAGAACGATTTGTGTGGATCTTTGGTCGGTATGTGCTCTTCTGGCATACATGAGAGTGTTGGTTGCTCTAGATTTATGAGATGTTGCTGCTGCGGCCGCTCCACCTTCGGTTGTCTATTGAAGGTTTTTTTCCTTGCGATGATTTCCTTGTACACCTCGCAGCCCTTGTAGTTTGCAGGGTGGGTTCCATCACAAAGAACGCACTGGGCTGGTGTATTCCTGTCTTGTTTTGGGCAATCGGAGGTTTTATGAGGCTGAGATTTGAATATAGCAGACAGAGTTATTTTTGTATTAATAATATTGATTCAACATGGATCAGAGTTACAGTTTCTAGAAGCACCCACTTCAATGTAAATCATATTAACAACAGGCAAGACTCAATAAAATATAATGCAAAACTTTTTAGAATCATAATTTATTAAGTCTTAAATGAATTGTAATGGATTGAAGTACAAACATGAAAAAATGTGGGTTATGGATGTCACTGTTGCACTGACAGTCTCAACTTCTGCTGGTGAAGTTATGTGAAAACAGTTAGTATTGAATAAAATGGAGAATGTATACCTAAATCGTCAGGAGGCTGCAGTGATTTGCCAGCACTTAAATTGTCCATCATTGTAGCTGCTTTACCAACAGCCCAGCCGACACCAGACAGTGCTATTGAAAACGCAACCATACTAAATGGATGCTGTAATTAAAAAAAAAACAGTAAAAATAACATATATTTGTAATAACATAATCAAAATACTTGTTTGATATACTTATTAAATGTAGCTATGAGAATTCAGGTAGTTTTAAAGTTAACTTTGTCTTTAGTGAAATAAGATTTATTAAAAATATAAATAGAACTGACTTCAAACTTAAAAAAACTGAATGATAATACTATCTATCTCAAAAGTGACTTATTTAAGAGAATGCTATTAAAGTTGAGCAAAGGTTTTTTGTAGTTAACTAATTAAATGATAGGTGCCTGACTTCAATAGCATTTCCTGAATAAGTTGCTTTTGAGATAACTATTATTTTTTAAGTTTGAAGTTCATTCTCTTTTTTTTTTAGTTTTGATTTCATGCTTTTTAGTGATATTGCTATTTTTTATATAATAGGTAACACTAAAAATACTTTACTAAAAACTGAAATCAAAACCATGTTAAAGTGTGAATTTCCTTTCTTTTAATTGGTACCTAAAACCATCTCTTAAGTCTTGGTTCAGTAAATCAGTTTGGTTAAAAATAAAAATACTAACTGTTAATGTAGGACTAGCTGTAAAACAATAGTCAAGAATAACAACAGCTATTCCAGTAATTAAACCAAGACATGTGCAGATCCATATAATATTTTGATTACCTGCAATAAAAAATTAAAAAAGTTATTAACTTATGAAGCAGATCCAGTAAAGGGTTATAGGTTGTCGTCCTTCTTGACAAGCATAACCTTGGACATGTTGTGGGCCAAACTTTAGTGTGCAAATATGTTTGTGGGCTGCATTTAAAAATAGTGTTATAGTGCTCATAATTTTTTGCAATAGATATCAGACATTAAATAATACAACAATGTTATTATAAATTAGGTTTTTCAAAATGTCTTATGTGCTGGCTGTTGCCCACCGTGGACCTAGAGCCTATGGTGCTTTTGCCAGAAGTTAAGTGACACAGAACACGAACTTCTTTTTATCACATTCCACCTGCCCTTTATAATGTCACACTTCTAGGCATGTGCCCACTTTCACAAAAGGATGTTATATCAATCAAGTGCATTTATGAAATAATAATTACATTGGTACATCTATATCTAGGTGAAACTATGAATATTGTTTCAGTACAATTATGACCAATGGGTATCTTTATAACTTGCACTTCCTACCAAAAACACATAAATTTTACATCAACGCATCCAAGATCAATGTTCAGCTCTTATGGTATATTCAGCCTATAAATCTTGAACTTGTTCTTCATATCGCACTCCCGGTGCGACACTGTCACTTATGCAAAAATTTAGTTTTTCAGAAGAGTTTTAAACTCTGCCACCTCACAAAACAATGACTTTAGAAGATACAGCAACATTATCGCACCAAGTAAAGGGGGTTTTAGGCAATTATTACATATATAACTAATTTTTGTATTTTTTGCAAAAGTGACAGTGTCGCACCGGGGGTGCGATATTTTGAATGTGTATTTAGTTACTTTTAAGTTTTTTGTTTTGCATGTCAGTTATTGTCTTGATAGATTCCATTAATTTTGGATTGTGTGGGTCAAGTTGAAGCGCCCTAGTATATGATATTATTGCCTCATCATGTAACCCACTAGCAGCTTCAACTTCAGCTCTTCGAAAATAGCCCTAAAACCAAGAAACACATTTTCTTACTAAGAATAGGAAGCACAGTAATAATATGTTGGCCACGGTGAACCTACCTTAGCCCATTGTGGTTGCAATCTAACAGTTTCATTTGCGTCCTGTAACGACAGATAATGCTGATCCATCTTTAAAAATGCAAAAGATCTATTGCTATACAATAAGTAATTGTTCGGGTCCATTTTTATGGCTTGTGTATAATGTAATACGGCTTCGATAAATTTACAATTTTTCACGCAGTCATTACCTTTGTTTTTTAGATCTTCAACGTTAGATGTTTGAGTACTTTTTTTGTGTTCTTCCATGACTTTTTGATTTGAATTTTAGACAGAATTACAAAACTGCCGTTTTCAATGAAATTATTCTGTCTGAGTAAAGTACCGTAGTTTGTAGAGTAAAATTTATGATGAATTAATAATATTATCTTTATCTGACATATCAAAACGATGAAATGTCAAAAGTTTTGTTTTTTTTTAATAATTCTGACGATGGAAACAAGTCCGTCAGTCGCATACAAAGAAAAATATTTCTCAAAACTAATTAAAAAAAGAAACTCACAAAACAAAATTTTGAATCTAGATTTTTTTTCAATGGTGCTTTCTATATAATTATATTATTTAATTATGGTATATAAAAGTCTTTATTAGATAGCAAATCCTAAAAGCGGCGGGGAAGACCTATTTCATTGCGTTTACAAATATCATCAGGTGCACTTGCTAAAATGAGTCATTGGACGTTGAAAGGAGAATGTTTTTGATACTTTATTCCGAAAAATCTCACCACTATAAAGAAAATTATTATAGCATCTGGACTCAAGCCTGTATCTTTCATCAAAGTTTCAGGTCAGAAAGTTCCCCCGTTTTAGAGAATTAAGTAAAAAAGAAGGTATGGTTTTCCTAGAAATACTAGTACGCACAGCTATAAAACTCATTTAATAAAAAATAAAGTGCGAAGGAATAGGGTATTTGACACTTTTCTGAAGACTATTATAAATCGTTGTTTGCTACATTAAAAACACACTGTCATAATATTTCATTGGAATCTTTTCTATTTTTGGTGAAAATAATTGTTAAAATTTAAATAGCCAAAAGCGCGCGAAAAACGCTGCTCTATGTAATGGCGCTGATCGTGACGTCACAGGCCAGTAAATATGTCAAATCCATAAGTAACAACTGTCTTTAGAGTAAATTAGGGATGTTCGATATTGGAAAAACATCGATATTGACATCGAAGTCAACATTCGATGAAAACCATCGATGTTCCCCAAACATCGATTGTGTTGCTGTTAAAGGAATTGGCCAGCTTTAAAAAAAAGCCTCTCTGAAGCCTTGGAAGTAAATATTTTAATGCAATCTTTTTTAATGTGGGATAGGTGGATTCTACCCCTTAACATAAAAGTAATGAAATAAGACAAGTGTCATAAAAAATCACGCGGGTGTTTCACGGAGCATAAAGCATAAAGCAACTTTTTTTTAAATATATAAGTGACCTTTTTCCGTTTTACACATTCCGTTTTACACGGGATAGTGAGAAACGGTTTTTAATAGTTTTCTTCCTCCCTTGTTCTAAAAGTACAACACAAAGCAAACGTCACAAATTGTACTAATAAATTAAATAAAAAATATCGCAATAAATATATGATAGTACCAAGTAGATTAAAGTGTATTGTTATATTTTTTAATATGCTTACAATACGCAAAAAGTTAGGTATGTTAGAAATAGACAAGATGGTATTAAGGTTAATGGGACGGGGGGTTTTAGATGGAAGTTGCTCATATGAAGTAGGTTGTTTCAGACAGTTGAAGAGGACGAGATCAGTGGTACCTTTTTCGATTCCGCACTCGCACGTGGAACTATCTAATGTACGGATCTTTTAAACTAAGACCGGTAAATAAAGTAACTTATAAGATACCAACGAGCGCTGAAGTTGACATATTTATTTCTAATTTCCTAGGAAAATAGAAGCAAAGAAAAAGCTATTTGTTTGCGCACTCCAGTTACGAGTGCAACCGGTGACATCTAGTATAAAATAGTTGAACTTGATATACGAGATCATCTAGAGCACGTTAGATGGCCTAAAGGGTATCTTGACATTTTATTCATAAACATCGATGTTTGGCACGAAAACATCGATATGCCGATGTTATCCAATTTAAAACATCGATGACAAAACATCGATGTTTATTCAACATCGATGAATATCGATCATTCCTAGAGTAAATTGAAATAATAATTTAAAAGAGAAATTGAAGTCGTAGTGCGTATTTTTTACGTTTTTTATTTTCCTCTGCTCTGGTTTTCTTTAAAAAGTGAGCTACAAGTGGTGCGTAGTGCCACAATGTACTAATGCTTCTATAAATAACAAACAAACTTCGAGTCTAGAAGAAAATAGATTGACAATCACAATAGTATAGTAGCTATATAGAGTAGAGGTGGTTGATAAAATTAGGTAAGGATTCGCTAAAAGTATTGAAACTTTTTTATTTCATATCGATACATTTGAAGGTTTTCTTTTTGGTTTTTTTCTTTGTCATTAACATTTTTCGACTCATTTATATTTGTTGACAGGGCTCGCACTTTACAGCCTGTCGACCTACAGATGGATGAGACATTAGTACGAAAAAGAATATTCAATTTTTTTTATACATGCATGTAGTATGTCTGTCCACTAAATGCATGGTATTTGATAATTAGGTATCAGATACCGATGATTTTTTTAATTAGTTTTTAACTTTGAGAACACTATATATCATCAAAATCGACTTTGTAATTTTGAATTATTATAGTAAAGTTCAAGAAATGAGAAAAACATCTAAAGTGCTCTTTTTTTAAATTGCTGGCGTTTTCCCTATTTCTTGGATTTTTTAAAAAGCTATTTCTTTTTAGCAGTTCTTATCAATAGAAGCGGTAAAGTATTCTGTTATCAGTAAATTACTATAAAGTACTCGATACTTACAGGCATCGATATTTTATGTATCTTTCTAACACTACTTTGACATGACAGCTGATGACGTCACAACAGAATCGTGATTGGTTGTGACGACGACCAATTATAGGACGTTTTCGTCGTTGAATAAATTCCTAAAAATATTGTATTTTCTTTACGTTATTTTACTAAATCTAAACATGTTTTTTCCGCAGATGTTAAGAAATAAGCTTTATTAGATTATTTTCTCTCAGGATGGCCACAAAATGCAACTTATTTTCGATAGTGTCAAATACCCTATTAAAACAAACGTAAAGGCATCTTTGTCCAGAGCCTAGCTTTCGGTAGTGTACTTTGGAGTAATTACGAAAGTGGGGAAATTCCGATAATGAAATAAAACAAAAAGCAATATATTTGTTACAATAAGGAAGTATTTAAAAAATGAAAATTAGTTCTTGAAATCATACTAGGTGTCACTCGCGATGTTTGGATTTTGTTTATGTTATTCATTCAAATTTTGTTTCTGACGTAATGAAAGTAAATTGAGTATCGAAAATTAATAAATATGACATTGTTTTGTGTTTCTTATAATATCTAACTTTCAAGTTAATTTAAATTTATTTCAATCGTAAGATTAAGTTGTTTATTATGTTACGTGTAAAGGAACGATGTTTGGTTGATAAGTCAACATTAGTGATGAGCCAACTTATTGGTTGCTCGTAACTTTCATCGAATTCAGGTTTGGAATGAGGAACATAAAGCGGAGCGCAGAATTCAGCTTGGATTTATATGTCATTCATTATGCATCCACAAAAGAATGATATTAATATAAATATCAAAATCAATTCAGTCTAGGCTGTTACATAGTACTTGTGAAAGTCGAAAACTTTGCCAATGGTTCGCAAAACTAAGGCGGGAGATCTTGTACTGACAAGAATCGGCAAGAAACTCAGCAAAGGCTGATTTTTTAATTTCAATTATACAACTCACCTATACTACATATATTCGAGGGAACGTAACGACCTTAAGCACACGACACCACCGCAGAGATTTTAAGAGAGCATGACTACTCTAGGTACTTAGTAAATAATATATTACAATAAAACTGATTTCTAGAGTGGCTTCTGTAGGAAGTCAATCTATTATTAACAATATTATAGTAAGAACCAAAAAGCACATACCCTCCGTAAGAATTAACGCCAGAATGTCCGCCGTCGACATGCAAGATCAATATCAATAGTATAATAACTGTACGTGTCTTGGTGATTTTGAAATTTAAAGTTATAACCTTGCTGTTCGTTTAAAACAGACGTTTCTTATTAATTGCTGAATGTTTATTAAGATGAATAAATTATGAATATAAGATTAAATAATTGATCATAGTTTTTTAAAGTCTTAATTTCGAAAGCACAAGTTATTTGCACGTTACACTTTTCACAAATGTCATTTTAGCCAGAAGTCATGTTATTTTGTACGAATACCTAGTATATTTGATACATATCGGGTAAGCATATAGATAATAAACGGATTTTTTATTATAATTATCGTTTTATGACTTTTGTTGCTGATAAATAAACCCTATTCATTCATTCACCAGACATAATATATAAATATTAAGACTTGATGTACATAGTTTTGTTGTTGTAAGTTTAACAAACAACTAATAGCGATAAAACTAACTAGTTGTTATTGTTTTCAGAACTTTTGTTAAATATTATAATGAAAAATTCCTAGACCTACTATGGCATAAGTATTTTATTTATAAAAACTATTTGCTAGCTAAATGCTTTGCGTAGCTAAATGCCACTTTTAATTATATCACAGCATTAATTCAATTAATTTCCATAAATTAAAGAAAAACCTCTGTGCTCACTTCCATTATGTTAGTTTCCATTTTCTCTTTACAAATAAAAAAGAAATTTATTCAAAAATTACTTTGTATTTATCAAGATGCGTTTGTTTTACTTTGATTATCGAATCCGAGTTATCAGATCCGAGTTATCAGATCCATAACAACACTGACAATTCTATCCTCTCTGGACTAACGTCATGAATTAACATTTAGATCCAAAAATTTGTGCAGCCATCTAGTAACATATTTTTTGTAGTTTCTTAGTTTTTTTTAATACTTCCTCATTGACGTTTAGATCCAACAATTTGTGCTGCCATCTCGTTACATAAAGGGAATTGTTCAGTTTGTATGGGCACTTTGGCTTTGAGTGGACATTGTCTACAGTTATAAAAAACGTTATTTTTCAATATTTCATATCTTAAGGAAAGTAACTATTATAATATTTTCACGGGAAAGTTTAATATTGTATATATATAACATGTGTAGTATTCCATAAACGGTGTAAAGAAAAACTTATATTTTGTAGAATACTTTAATTACATTATCATCATATTAATTTTATTTATGTAAGAAATAAGAAGCAGAGATAGTTAAATAAAGAAATTGTAGATTTACACATATTTACCTTTTATTTGAGAATACAATTCTACAAGCAAAAGACAGTACTTCTAAATACACTTATTTATAAGAATAGACTTTACAATATCACTTAATAAATAAGTTACACTGCTCATACAGTTTGTCTTCAGCTGGAGGCTGGCATTTGATGGTCAAAAAGCAGCTACATTTATATAAGTTGGTCACATGATGTCCTTATCGTTAAATCTTCCACGGCCTCTCCTGACGTGTGCTTGCAGTCGAACACAACTATTCTTATAATTTGTGCTCGCCCTCGAGAACAACTCTTCGGCTTGGAGTGGCTGTAGACTCACATTTACGTCTCGGCCTATTAACAGAAAGAACTATTTTAAAACACCTATCCAGTACATTTGTACATTACTACTAAAAAATAAATTAACATTAAATGTTGAACTACAGGTACAGTATTCCCATGCCTTCGCACATGTAAATAGTAGCCTATATCATCCTGATGAAAGATGTAGCTTCCCTTAAGTAAAGGATTTTTACATCAGTCTTGTAGTTTCGGAGTTTGTAAACAAGCTTAACTAACAAACAAATCTTTCTAGTTTATAATATAAGTAAGGATAAGAGGCACAAAGCTCATAAACTAGTTTCACTATTTTTACAATAATAAGGCAAAAATAATAAACAATTTTACCTGATGCCATGTGGGAACGGTCAGTCGCTGTGGTGTGTTACACGGGGAACCTTCATACAGTCACTACTACATCTTGTAGAAAAGCCTATTTATTACGACTTTGTGTTAGTGGATAGGCGCCGGCGACTGCCAGTTGTCCAAGAAGTTAGCCACACATGCAGCCACTGCGAGCGAAACTAGAGAACTTAAAGTGTTTTGGCATGCTCATAGTAAATATTTTGTTAATGTTTTTGGATCTTCCGTGCTTTAATCATAGGTCAAATTTTATTGAATTATTGCTTAATCGTAAGTGAATATGACTAAGATAATAATATATATCTATATTGTGTATTTTTCTACGTGGGTTTTGTGTTAGAAAAAATAATTTTATTATTGATCTTCGGGGCACGTTCGTACATTTCCAGAAAGGGCACATTCGTACGCGTATGTGTGTACCTCCCCTAACAATTTTTATTATTATATCAGAAAATTTAGAAAAAATTATCGGAATTTTAAGAAGAAAAGGCAGACACGTTCCCAATATTAATTAAATGAGTTTTTTTGCGTCCGTAAAAGATGTTTTTAAATAGTAAAAAACAAATTGTTTTACTGAAAAGATTAACCAATTGAAAAAGTTCATAAACACATTTCGGACTCACGATATTGGAAGTCACAACACTATAAAATGATTATGATAAAGTTTTGAAATATAAATGTTTGCAAAATTGTTATGAAACTGGCTTCGCTGATATAGAATAGATGCACGGTTTTCGTAAAAAGATAGTTAGATTCTAAGCTTATATGTTGTTTAGTTTATCACTTCGTTGATAAGTTTATGATCAATGAAAACGATTTTTTTAATTCATTTGTTGTTTTACTTAATATATATGCAGTTACCACACTGTCTGAATGTTCCCCGGCCCATGTACGATCGTACCCCTTAATAGGGGTAGATTCGGATATTTCATTAGCTTTTAGTAAAATTCAATCCTTTGATATATTATACAAGATATCGACTTTGAACTTTTTAAATAAGGAGTAGAAAGTATGCTTTATGTTTCAATAAGAAATTGAGTAATTTATCTGTGATTATCAATATTTTAAAAATCATTGACTAAAAAGTGTACGAATGGTCCCAATCTTCCCCTTAAGGTTTATTTACCAGTTTTATTGTAATATGTTACGTGTCTCCAGTTGCAATTGCCTGACTTCGACGTTACCTTCTAGGATGCCGGCAGAGCATCCGCATTGAGAAATCCGTCTCGACGTGGTGCTAAGTGAAAGCTGGTGTTTCTCATGATGGCGTTTCATCTCCTCTTCTCTTCTCTATATTTATAAATTCCATAACTAGACTAGGAGCATGATAGACGAGGCGGAATAAGGCGGGATAGTGCGAGGCAGAGGAAGATTTTCAGAAAAAAAAATTGGTTCCCGAAATCAAACTAGATGTCGCTACGGTACGTTCTTGTATTCTCCATGAATACCCTTCCGATTTTCTTTCATGTGTAAAAGTAAATTAGTAAAAAGTAAATTGTTAATTAGTTACTCAATTAACAACTCGTATTCTATTTGTACTTTTTCGTCTTTGTGTTGATATCTAAGTTACGAACTTTTCAAATTTCAGTTTTTTAATATGTTAGTTAAAAGGAACGGCAATGACTGTCTATGGTCCATTCGTTTCGTAAGATTATTTTCACACATAAGTAAATGAGAACTTACATAGGTACCTCCTATATATCCGTATATTAAAATTAATATTTCATTTCTGATTCTGTTTTTCGACTTAAAACTATTCTTTATTTTCCCCTCAAATTATGATCCTTGTAAGCAAGTTTCGGTTTCGGCCGAAACTGAGACCGTTGCCGAAATTCGTTTTCGGTTTCGGACGTACGAGGGTCAAACTGAAAGTTCTTAGAAAATCAAAAACTGATTACATTAGCCAGTTATTAGTTTTATTATATCTTTTCAAAATATTGTCCATTCACGTCAATACACCGCTGCATGCGATGGAACCACAGGGAAAAGCACTTTGCCCATTCGTCCTTAGGGGTCTCTTCAATGGCATCGCGATACGCAGCCACCGCTTCTTCAGCATTCATAAACCGCTTTCCTTTAAGTTTTTCTTTAATTTTTGGAAATAAATAAAAATCACAAGGCGCGAGGTCGGGGCTATACGGCGGGTGACCCAGTAATTCAACGTTTGATGTCGCCAAATAGTCGATCGTTCGCTTGGCGGTGTGCGACGAGGCGTTGTCGTGGTGAAGGAGGATCCTACTGCGAGGTCGTTTCTCTCGAACTTTTTCCAAGACAAGTGGCAAACAATTGGTAGTGTACCATTCTGCAGAAACTGTTTTTTGATCCTCTAACACAATTGTTGCAAAATGACCTATCCTTCCAAAGAACGAGGCCACCATTTTTTTTCCCGCACTTCGATCTCTCTTCACTTTAGTTGGCAACTCCTCGAAAGGAAACACCCACTGAGCAGATTGTCTTTTGGTTTTAGGATCATAACAGTAAATCCAGCTTTCGTCACCTGTTAGTATGTCGAACACAGCATTTGAGTCACCTCCGTTAAATCTTTCAATCATTTTACGACACCAATCCACACGATGGAGTTTTTGAGCCTCAGTCAAATTATGAGGTATCCACCGGGCGCAAAGCTTCCTGACCGCTAAATGTTCGTGGAGGATTTTGTGCACTTGACTCATACCGATGCCTAAGCTTGTCCGAATCTGTTGATAGGTCACTCTTTTGTCAGTCTCTATCATACGCCGCACAACACAGATGTTATCTTCAGTCGTCGCCGTAGAAGGCCGTCCCTCACGTAAATCATCAGTGAGATTAGTGCGACCACGTTTAAACTCATTAAACCAGTTGTAAACAGTCGCACGAGATGGGGCTTCATCGTGAAAGGCCAATCGTAGTCTATCATAACTTTCTTGTTGACTTAAATGACATCGAAAGTCATAAAAAATCATTGCACGAAAATTTTCTCGTGTTAAATTCATGATGACGTGACACAGACAATTTTCAATTTGCCGCCAAATCGTAAAACAAATGACAAATGAATGAAATATATACTCAGTAATATTGGCAAAGAGTTATATTTTCAAATTTTAGAATTATTTTTTTATTATATTGTTTATAAGTGGCCAGTTCTAAGAACTTTCAGTTTGACCCTCGTATAACTAGGTTCGATCGGACACTACTTTGTAAATAAAAAGTTGATAAATAGGTTATGTAAACACACACACATACACACACACACGCACACATACACACACACACACACACACGCACACATACACACACACACACACACACACGCACACATACACACACACACACATACACACAAACCAAGCGCACGTAAACAAACACCCACACAGTTTGACAAAAAGTACTACAGAGACCAATTTTTTGTTTTACACTTTAAAAAATCGTGTGTTTTGTCTTAGATTGCAAGGGACGTCAAAATGGATAATATGTTATTGGTATTTAGAAAATAAAAAAAATAATTAATGATTCAAATTTATTGAATAGTCACTATTTTTAGGTCACAATTACTAAGTAAATTAACTGTAGAAAAATAAATAACTTACTGTGTAATAAAAATTCATTCACTTATTCTTTCTTAGCCATATTTGAATTTTGTCAACTAAATAAAAAATAATCTTTTCCTTCAGTGAGATTCAAAGATTTCAGATTACTTTCAAACAGTCCATTTGTCAGATCTAGTTTAACACATATTATTAGGGGACATTTTGCATCAAGAAAATGAATAACTGGTAATTTTATTAAAACTTTTCTTTTGTGCGGACAATATAATTCTATATCATTTCCTATCTTTTTTTTATCAACATCACAAAAAGCTACCACTTTTTTCAAGTTTTCTGGATTTAAAGCTCGAACAAATCTCCTTCCAGACTTTCCAGCATTCCACACTGTAAAGTGTTTCCAATGTTGAAGTACGTTTATTTGCAATTTTTCTAATTGTATGTTCCAAATACACTCCCTACTAATGGACAAAGATGTTGCATTTGCATGATATGAATATATAACTAAGTCATTATTTATTCTATGCAAATCACCACCTAACTCGAGATGTTTATGAAAAAATATTAGATCTTCTGGTGTTCCAGCTCCTTTTTCATCAAAGCCACCCACTTTATCAAAAACAGATCTATGACAAAACCAAGTTGGCATAAGTAAAGTTGATCCATTAGAAGTGTAAATTTGTAACTTCAACTCATTGGACTTCATATTGTTAGCCCAACGAACATATCTAGGTGTAGAATCAAAAGGTATTCGTGATATTCTACTGCCTATTAATGTGTTAAGATGATTCACAGCATATTGCCATTGTAGCATTATTCTATGTGGTTGCATAATATCATCAATGTCTTGAAAACATAAAAAATTACCAGAACTTACGAAAACAGCACCATTTTTGGCTGCACCAACACCTCTTGTAGATAATGAACCTGTTAGAATAAAATTAACGCGTTTTTGTTTAAAGTATTGAGCCCACTGATTGAGCAGTTTCTCAGTTCCATCAGTACTGCCATCGTTGTATACGATTATTTCAAGTTTCAATTCGGTATTTATGATTGTTTGGGAGGCTATTGATTTCATACAGTTGTTAATCCATTTTTCACCATTATAAATTGGTATAATAACTGATACGTCACACATTCTCTTTGTAAATTATCGCAAAAATTAATAATCTTTGTCTTCCTGATCCTTTCTCTTCCAACATTTTCCCTCAAGATCCTGACCTGACATTTAATAAGCACAGAACAAAAGTACTCTACGTTAATAAGACTGCAAAAAAACAATAATACCACAGACCAAAGCTAAGAAACTCTAAGATTGCTCTAAGAAACTATCCTTTTTTTTTTTTTCGGCTCTCAACCTTAAGGGTTCGGAACCACCTTCCCATCAACGGAGGAAGAAGGCGGTGAATCCTTCATTGGATACCCCACGGCCGGCCGTGAGGTTATGTCAGACTTCTACTGACTAAACACCGCCTTGGACTATTGGTTGCGTGTCCTGAAGGGGCAACGAACCTTCATCGGAGCGACTGCCCCCCCCCGCGAGGGGGGGGGGGCAACGCAGACGTCCCTATTCACTTACATGAATAGTGGCGTCGAGATGTTAGCCGTTAACCCCGGGGGGCTCGGCTCATCGGATTGAAATACAGCTGACTCCCTGAAGGGGAACGATCAGCCAGATCGGACGGGGGTATGACCTGAAGGGTCGACGTGTGGAGGGCAGGGAGGGGAGCATCGCATACCACCAGAAGGGTGCTATTTGATACCCGTAACAATTTGTGCGGCCTGCATCCTGAAGGGATGTCAGGTCGAGAGGGCAGAGAGGGTTGACCTGAAGGGTCAGTATGATGGGTGGGATTTGGCCTACTGGGTCTCGTAAGGAGGTCCAGGTCGGCCAAGGGATGGGTTGTGGGAGGTTTGGGAACCTAACATGTTGTAAGTGCTTATGATAAGGCACTTAGTAACGCTTCGTGTTCACACAGCGCCAGAAGGCGTTCCTGTGTGGACGAAGCGCGGCGGAGCTTAGCCGCTAGGGTGGAGATTTCATTTATGTCGATTCCACGAATCAAGTTAAAAACTAGATTTATGTCATCGGCTATAGATGAAGAGGCAGGAGTGGTTTTGGAAGGTGAGACGGAAGCCTTTGGTGAAGGCTTCGTCTGGGAGGGTTTCGGAGGGGGGCCCCATATTGGTTGTGAAGCCGGTTTTGGGGCGGAGTGGTTCGCCTTTGGTAAGGCAGGGAAGTTCGCCACAGTGGGCTTGGGGGGGGCTTTAGGCGCTTTGTTGACCGCCGGGCCCTTACCCTTCTTCTTAGAAGAGGGTTTGGGCTTCGCGCTCGTGGGCAACCTTTATAGTTGGCCGTGTGGCCGATTTGGCCACACAGTACACAGGCCGGAGGGGTGAGAGTGTCTTAAGTTCGAGAGCACTCCTTTGTGGGATGTGACTCGAGGCACTTTACGCACCTCGGAGTCGCGGAACAGTTAGCCGCCGCATGCCCGTAAAGCTGGCATCGGTGGCACTGTCCCGGAGTACCGCGTCGGTGAGGGGGTTCTACTTTAACCCCGGTAAGGCCGCAGACCCTAAGGTCCTTAGCCTTGAAAATGTCACGAGCGTTAGGGACATTTGGAATGATGAGTAGAGCCAGTGGGAGAGGCCTGCCGGCGTATAGTACCTACTTAATTTACTTCGATGGATCAGCAACTGATAGCGGATCGTGAGTGTGAATATTATTATTAGATGATATATTACTTATTATGGCAATCCTGGAATACTCCCACAAACAAAAAGGTAACTTTACTCTTTTGTCGGGGAACTCCCGATGAATGAATGAACGCATCTTACAGTTTTATTTTGACAAATTAACAGTTTTTTACTAAATGCACATGTAAGTACACACGGTACATACCCAAACCAAAATAATATTCTTTACATTTTTGTCTGTCTGTTTGTTCCGGCTAAACTCTGAAACGGTTAAACCAATTTTGACGGGACTTTCACTAGCAGATAGCTTATGTAATAAGGAATTACTAAGGCTACTTTCCACGTGGAAGAAATCGCGGGTACAGTTCGTCTGTCTGTCACCAGGCTGTATCTCATGTTAACATTTTCACATAAGATGCATTTCTGTTGCCAATAATGAAAAAATACTAAAAACAGAATAAATATTTGCTTTTATTTAATAAAATAATGTTTTTGCTCGATATCGATACTTGCATATGCGTATTTGTCTATATACGTATTTACTTTAAAAATAAACAGTTAAATTAAAATAAAATAAAGACTCAAGTTCGCTCCCGTACAAATACAACAGATTTGATTTTTTTGCCGTTTTATAATGGTACAGATCTCTTGGTGTGCGAGTCCAACTCGCACCTAGCCGTATTTTAAACATACAGTTTAAAAAATTGAAAGATATATAATGCAATTTTACTATAATAGGACAATAAACTTAATTAATCAAAATAATAAATTAATGAATCACTTTATAACTCGTATGCATAAAAAAAAGAAAAAAAATTATACTAGCAATAATTAACTTATACTAAGTAGTAAAATTCGGAACATCGCCATGTCAAAAATCGTATAACATCATCATCGGGGACTAACATAACAACAATAAAGTCTAACATGTGTTTAAAGAAGTCCTATGTATTAGACACGTGTGTTCAAAAATTTACTTACTTGTTTTAACTTTAGAGTTTAAATTATTTCAGCTGTCAAAATTACATCGAAATTTTAATAATGGAAAACAACCGAATTCCATTGTTTTATACAGATAAAGTCATGCGTTGCAGTTTCATAACATGTTTATAGATGAACGGTGCATTCTTTGTTTAACCGTCGACTTTTTAACTGGTTGTAATAATCTATTATACTAACGTATTGTATTATACGACAAAACTAAAGCGTTGTAGTCTAGGAGTACGTTGATTAACGAACGTAACGCTCTTCATTTGACCATTGAAAAATTAACTATCCAGTATATTGAATAATAGTTAAAAATCAATTTTAAGACAATGTTTACTATACCAGCATTGTGAATGTAAAATTTATAGAATTAAACTAGCTGTATCCTCGATTTCGTCTGCGTGGAAAGTAGCCTTAGTAATTCCTTATTACGTAAGCTTATCTGCCAGTGAAAGTCCCGTCAAATTTGGTCTAACCGTTTCAGAGTTTAGCCGGAACAAAAAAGGAAGACAAAAACTGTAAAAAATATTATTTTGGTATAGGTATGTACCGTGTATACTTACATGTGTATTTAGTAAAAACGGTTAATTTGTATTTGTTAAAATTAAACTGTAAGATCCGTTCATTAATTCATCGGGAGTTCCTCAACCAAAGAGAGAAGTTACCTATTTCTTCGCTGGAGTATTTCAGGATTGCCATAATAAGTATTAGAATATCTAATAATAATATTCACACTCGCGATCCGCTATCGGTTGTTGATCCATCGAAGTAAAGTGAGTAGGTACCAAAGATTACAGGTACTATACTAACGTTTTAAACTATTCCTATGCTAACGTTTAAAGAAATAATCGATGGTTAATCGTCGATTATGAAATAATAATCGATAGCAACTGATTATTTTAAAAATCGATTAATCGATTAATGGTAATCGGAAACGTGTCACAAGAAAAGGGCGGCAATTTCAAAAATTCTTAAGCAGTAAACACTGAATGTAGTACTGCAAAATAATTTTGATACTTTTATTAATTATATTTAATCTTAACATTTAGATATCAATTAAAATTATTTGTTTTGGAACATTTGACTAAAGCGTGACTGTTCTTAATTGTACAGTTAACAGCATATCAGTAGGCCTATTCACTAACTCAACTGACAACCAAGAATCGTCATCACCGTAAAAAATAGACACTTTGATTGTGTCAAAATCACTATTTCGTATTCTCTATCAATGATGAGCAATTTCGAAATGTCAATATCGGCATTCTCCACTGGACTCCATTTTGACACTTGATTTCGTATCGATAAACTGTATTAAAGTAACATTGTTGCAAAGCATATTTGAAGTCGTCGCATAGTACCTCTTAAGCCATTTGTTGTTAAATTAAAGCGAAAAAAAATACGTATCCAATATTTTTCTATTATCTGACTGACGGACTAAATCGAATCTTTTTTTTAACCCATTCGTTATACCTATTGGCTAACAGCACTTATAATATTAAAAATTCATATTTGTCATTAATTAAAAGGGTGTTTTTTGCAACGACTTCTTTGTTTTTTTGTAATGAATATGGGCGACTCTGGCCACATTTTTTTAATAAATGTGATGTTAGCCAATTTTGATTTCTGGCCCTTATATTTATAATGTGTTCATAACACATACATGTCTCCTAAGGGATTTTCATCACAACCTTTTGCTCTGATCCAGAACCACTATCTATCAAATTAAATTAGTCAATATAAACACCAGATTACAATAAAAAAAACATTTATTTTTGTTACAATTAAGTGCCATGGATAAATTACATAATACAGGTGTCACAAAATCATCATGTTAATCACAATAGAAAATTTAAGATAAGATTTTGACTATGAATCAGACTAAAAATACTTTAGTCTGATTCATAGTCAAAATCTGTTTCTAAATATTCTACACCTGATAACAATGACAAGGAATCATCAGAGTCACTCTCTTCACTACTGTCTGCACCAACAGATATAATAAATTTTTCAAGTTCGTTTTCAACAATGCCATCTTTTAATTTGTAATCATTTTCGACATTTAAAACATGATCAGTGTATTTCTTCCAGTCACTAGGGGTAATTAAGTTAAAACACTCTATTATTAAGTTTTCCATTTCCTTTCCTGGTATTCCAATGTTTCTGCTTGCAATTTTTCTTTTTGCTTGACTCCAAACCATCTCTATTGGGTTTAAGTCACAATGATACGGTGGCAGCAATAAAAGTTCATGATTATGTTCTTTTAAAATCTCTTCAGCTTCATATACAGGCAATGTTTTCTTATCATTAACCAAACACATTAACTCTGCCTTTGTCTGATATTCCTCAAAATGTATTCCATTATTTACAAGCCATTTACGGATATCTGCTTTGGTATTAGACATTATAGGCGGTTTATTGATTTGTTTTATATGGTAGCTGGCATTATCCATAACAATTACACTGGGCTTACTTAAATTTGGTATTAATTTTTCTCTGACCCATTTCATAAAGTTCGATGAGTTCATATCATCATGATAATCAGCAGATTT